ACGCTTCCTCAGGCTTTACAAGCTTGAACCCAGGGAGCTGGTCATTCTCCCAGCCCACAGACTAATTCTTGACTGAGTTTGACACAGTCCGCAGACCTCCTCTTGACCACATTTTTCACGAGGTGAGTTCGAGGCAATGAACGGAAAAATAGAGGTTTCACAGCTACCTGTGGTACATAATACTATCAGTGGTTCCTCATCCAATTCATTGGCCAAACCTGGGTGTTTCGCTGAGAGTAAATTTTGTCAGGTCTCAATGGGATTCCTTAGGGAGTAGATCTCGTGCGTCCTTCTATGAGTAACATTCACAAAGCTGTAGGCTGATTCAGTACCTTAGAGAACCAAAATATGTGAACTTGAGCAAGCGGGTTCGCAATTTCAACCGCTGTGCTTATCGATTGGTGATGGGGTCTTATCTGCATAAAGTATCACAGGAATTTTTTAGGCCCATAATTTGGTGAAACTAGACAACTGTTCAGGCATTTTTGAGCCTCAAACGTTGATACCTTGTGTTATGCTTATGAGACTGTGTGTTAAAAGACAAGCCATGCTTACTTTGAGGAAATAACCAAGCGTATGCTAATACAACATCACTGGTATCTAGTGACCTCAGGACACAAAATTACGCAAAAACGGCACAAGAAAGCAATATATTGTGTCTGTATACAACAAATCGACAGTGGACGAACTGTTAATAACAGGTAGTTGGATAAATAATCAGTCTGCGTAAACAATTCAAAATACCATACATTTTGTTGACAATAATAAACTGGGTATTAAAATATTTAGTTTGTAGTGTTGGAGTGGATTGACGCGCCTCTGTATCAGACACTGCAGACCTCACGTGATTATCGAATGGATGCCAGCGGATAGCTTATAGATGAGGCAGTGTTGACGCTGTTAGGTCACTACGGCTAACATACTCAACATTGGGACATCTAACCAACTTGGGTAGTCACCGTGTGGTGCGTGCTTACCAACCAAATGAGCACATCAACTACGGCTTCAACTTACATGTCTGCACGATAGCATCCACACTATGCGACGTTGTTCCCACAGTAACACCAAACGAAGTAGTGGAATGATCTTGCTTATATTGATCACAGACGAACCAGGAACTTGAGAACATCGCGGGCGCTTATTATTTTCTATGGTGGTTGTCAAACAGTTATTCCACAAGTACGCAGGATTTGCGCGACGGACCTTGGCAAAATGAACGCTGTTGCAAAAAAACACATGAGAGTGAAAAAGTTAGGGTTCCGTAACTTACGACAAGAGTGTACGCACTTTGATGCGCTTATCCGGACAATCAGGTGGCCAGTAGAAGCAACAAGCCAAGGATTGTCCAAGCCGCCGGGAACTTCGGCTCACAACGGGAATCCACCTCCAATGCATTTGCTTCGAGAAACACCGTATATTAGTTTTGAAGAACCGACACTTTAAGACTTCACTGAGGATGAAACAAATGTTTTAATACTCCATATGTTTTTATTAAATCTCACGGGGAATCTTCAGTAATAGCGTTATTTTTAAACTGCATGAGCCGCACGTGGAGTATCAGTACCCTGTGCTCTTCCCGCGAAGCAGTGAATATAATGGGCACCGATGTATTCGAATTTCAATGTTTGCTTGTTGCTGCTCACAGAGGTGCAGCTACTGAAAAACCAACCCAACTACCTTCTGGTTGAGTCAGGTCATGGGTTAGCTGAGCGTCCTCTGCATATTGAATCTGAATCATAAAAATATCTGCTTTATCTGGTGGGAAGCAGACTCACACTGTGTGTTATGAGGATTGCAGATAACTGGCTACGCGTATTCCTAATGCCTACAGCTACTCAGCAGTCTGTAGAGGAAAATCGTGGTAGCATAGGTAGCGTAGATGGTCGTTGGTTTGTT